AGGAGGGATCATTGTAAAAATATACCAATGAAGTTTGATGTCTGAATATCTTTAAAGGAGGAAGCAACATCCTATTTGGTTGGGATCTCGCGATATAAACATCTCTAACATCAAAATATGCCCCTTCATGGGCACCTTTTTAAAATGACCCCTCTCTTTCAGACATCTGCCCCCTGAAATAAATTTTAATAATTTAATCTGAAGCTAAACTAAATTTACTTTACAAAAAATTTGAAATTTCAAGAATCCGTTGAACTTTCACTGCGATATGACAATTTTAATTTGGGGTCAAATTGACCTGAAGGTACAGACAACGTAAGTTTTTTTTTTTGCACAGACAAAGCAACCGGTGAACACTCGTGTTTATTTCAGTTACCATGGAGACGTAATTTGTGATTAGCCCCGGTCCCTTTCAAATTGTATCATTATTTATGAACGGCCTTATATTTGAAATGACGTTTCACATTCATCTAGTGATGTCCGATTTTCATTCGAATAATCGTTTAATCGATTAACGATCCGAAAAGTAAACTATTTATAATCGGTTAGATCATGCCGATATAAGCATTAACATCTCCACAGGATCATCACCGATCGTTTCAAACATGTGCTGCACTCTCATTCGTGGAAAAATGGCAGCACAGCAAGCAAAAAATAATCGATTAGTTGTTAATCGAGTAATTAAAAAATGGGACATCTCTGATTTTGGTGTGATTGTTTTGATAAAAATGAGCGCAAAATTTCATCTTTTCCGAGGGGGCAGCAAAACCACAAAATTACCTTGAATACGGGGGGTTCTCATTGGATGAAAGGGACCGTGAAAGAAGACACTAAAATATAAAGTTTTTCTTCCGACAGTTTCATCTTAGTATTCATCTTTGGACAAAGTGTAAACATCTTGTTTTCAAATAATCTGAGAATAATCCTTAGACTACTCTTGTAAAAAAAATCGGAGGTCAATAACGGCCCAGGTTCATAGATTGATAAAAAATGAAATGATGAAAATATGAAATGGTCCCAAAATAAACTTTAATGTTGCATAAAAAAATATAAAATTTATCAAAAAAAACATTGGTGTAATTTTTCTTATTTATTGTGCCTTTACATTTTTTTATTGAGCATTTCAACTAACATTCGCATATTTTTTATGAGGTAGTTTTTGAAAGTTTATAGAATTTAATGATTAAAAAACTGGTCAAAAGAATGACAAAAGTTTACTTTCATATTTGTTTATACACAGCGTTCGGAAGCATGCTATTCCGACTTGCAAAGTTTCTAGAACTCCAATTGAAGTGGACGACTGTGATCTGGAGATTGGTGCAAATATAGAAGTCGACATGGGAACTTTAAAAGAACAACATATTGGGTCCTATATTATACCTCTTGAAGAAGCTCAAATTAAACCAAAGAAGAGTACAAAAAAACCGAAAGCGTTGCATGATCACGATTACAGTTTTACTCACGAGCGCTTGGAGACAATATACGGGGAAATGGAAAAGTTAAAGGAACACAACAAAGTTTTACGAAAAAAACTTCGTGAGCAGTATCGTGTAACATTGCGAAAACGGAAGGCTGCTGAAAAGTGGAAGCTTAAACTACGGTAAACAAGAGCGAAGAAAATAGTCAAGAAGGTAGCTAGAGGAGGAGGATTCTTGGACGATCTTGCACGCAATTCCGTTAAACCGCAGAAAGGGGCTAGATATTGTGAAGAGACAAAGAAAATAGCCTTAGGGCTGTACTACTGTTCAACGCGAGCATACGAAGAAATTGGAAAGCATTTACGACTGCCAAGCGTTTCGTTGATTAAAAAGTGGATGCGGAATATCAACATTAGCGAAGGATTCAGTGCGAATATCATGGATCTATTTAAACAGAAGGCAAAGCTGTTGTCTACAAAGGATCGAGTGGTTGTTATCAGCATAGATGAAATGTCCTTGAAAAAATGATAAGTTTGATATCTGGGAAAAGCGAAACCGGATTTGATTCTCGGGTTTCCTACAAACCTCCCTGGAAAAGCTTTGAACAGCACAGAGAGAGCAGCCTCGGTTTTAGTTGTGATGATTAAACTACTGAATTCTGGGTACAAGCAAAGTGTGGGTTATTTTTACAGCGCAGGAGGGTTTAAAGCTGATGAGCTGCTTAAAATTGTTCACAAATCTGTTCAGGAAATTACTCAAATAATTTTTCCAGATTTTCTATGCAATTTTCCTCCATCGTGAAAATTCTCGTGAAAATATGCAGATCATATTTTATTTTAAAATTTACGTTCGAAATACAACGTTTTTTCTACGATGCTTGTATCATCTTCCGAGCAATCTCTCGGCATAAATTAATAAATTAAAAAATCTCACTATTAAACGGTTCTTTCAAAATACTAGAGTATACCTGTACCAATTTGACAGCAACGGTTAGACGAATTTCCATACTTTTTTAGACGAGTTTATCGTCATCTGACACACTCAAATTTGAAAATGATTGAAACGTGTGCTACACTCAAAAAATTTCACACGTTTGATCGAAGTGTTTAAACACTTGATTTTCTAAATGCACTATCACATTTACTTTAAGTGTATTTCACCTTGGTTCAATGTGTTATACATGTTAATTTATAGTGTTTCAAACTTTGAAATGTTGAAAATCTTTCACTATCTATTCAAGTGTATTGCACATTGAATCACGCTACTGTTCAAAACAGATGGATTTAAAGTGTTTTGCATTTCAATACGATGTGAATTATTGCTTGCTCAGAAAGGTAAACATCGATAACAAGAGTTGTAACTTTATCCTATCAACCTGCCTCATATATGAGAACAACCGTGGCACAGTGAGATCGAACGAAGACTCCGGCAGCAGCATACCCCAACAGTCCATGATCGAATCCCAAATCAGACCCATTAAAAATATATGTGAAAGATCTGGTCTCTGGCAGTTTTGTTTATATATTTGTCGATTCATTTTTAGAGTCGATAAAGTAGAATATTGTAGAATATTGAACTATGGTGTGCAAAGCTATTGATATCACCATATGAGGCACATAGAATCCAAGTGTGTCACAATTCAAATCCATGGTGTTCAGGCATGGTTCATAGCATAAGATTCACACATGAAATGGATGTGTTTCACAATATGCGCAAAATTAAGTGTAAGACACATGATGATGACTTGTGTAATTTTTTGAGTGTATATTCGGAGACCGCGAGAAAGTTGCTAGGTGCCTCATCTTGATAAAAAATTGTACTAAGATCCCCTTCTGTTCTGTGACCGTATGGAAGGAAAACAGAGAAGAAATGGAATGCGGAACGTTTGGTAAACGATTACATAATTGTATAGAAGGGTATGAAATATGATAGGGTAGGTACTTTGAATGACAAAGACCGTTGGTTCAAGGATGGGAGTTATTTGAGATGATTGGATATTAGTAGGTATGCTACAAAGGTAACCACTCCGGAGGTAACAGAGCCAATCTAAATCGCGGTCCTAATGAACGCAATTGAAACCGACAGCAGTTTCAGGAAGATTAATATGCGATACTGGCATGACCAAGGATAGAAAATATGAAGGAACAACAAGGTAGTCATCAAACGCCTGCAAACAGTATCGAGTCAGACGAATTTAGTACCTACCCACGACTACTGACAATGGGAAGTTACCCGAGCAAAGCTGGGGATCAAATTGAAGTAAAAATTTGCTGTTATGATTAAACTTATTTTGAATATACTCCAGTTTATCTCATTTTGGTTGACTTAACAGTTAACACAGTAAAAATGAGAGCAAAATTTTATACTGTTGAATCAAACGGAAAACTAATCTTGCTTTCAATTAAATCAATTTGATTTGATTTTGCATTCATAATGTTTAATTGCTTCTCACACTGAAAGACTTGAGCTCAAATCTCACCCCGGGCAAGTAACGAATGATCTAAAATGTGTTAAAGAAAACAGATAGACAATAATCGTCAATTCAACGTCAGATAAGTAGCTGACTAAGTTCGCCACATTTGCTTGTATAGAGGTTGAGTAAAGGTTTTTTTTTTTTATTATAGTCACTTTAACGCTCTTGGGTCATTCGTGACTTGTCGGGGGTGAGATTTGAACTCGTGACTTTGGCGTGAGAGGTATGGATGCTAACCACTACGCTGGGGTCGCCCCCATGAGTAAAGGTTTCTTCATATCGTCTAACATTTGAATACTGCCTGATGCTGTATAGATGAAATGAGTAAAGCGTTTACATTACGAACATTGTTAATTGGGACTTCCTTGAAGCGGATGACCAGCAACCAGCTCGTTGAATATTATCTTGGGATTAAGTTTGTCGTCTTTTTTTCCCGTCCTTGACTTGAAATTATAAATACACAATCTCAAAAGTCATAATAGTGCAAGGTTGCCAAACTCATGGGCAGCTGACTGATAGCTTGATTGCCACAATTCAGCACGTTCGGCACAACGCGTGACCTAGCTTTTGGCACAGATAAAGTACTCGGCACAGATTGATCCATTCGGTCATAATATGTTAATAACAACATAAAATTATCAGTTGCAATTTTTCAATAACATAAGCAATATTTCATTTCGTTTTTGGCTTATTTATTAACAAATGTATGTGCAAGAAGTAAATTTTCCAGGCACCATTTAATATTGTTCCCATAACTGTTTTGTTGCATACCACCCTTCCTACCATCACAATATTTGTGACTGTTTACCTTAACACTTTCCCCGGTAACTTAATGTGACGTCATTTTAGCGTCCCTCACACGAAGAATCAACTTACTTTTACACAAAACATACCCAACAACAAGTAGGTAGCAGTTTTCCCGCCTTAGTTAAACCACCCAAAACATGCGCAATGAGGTGAAAATTAAGTGCGCAACATAGGTATTCTCATGCGCATGCCACGAAATTCGAGATTAAGATTGCAAATGTCAAAACGGCACTCCAAGTCAGACTTGCGGATCCATTGCATCTCGATTGATTTTTTTTTAATTATCTAATTGAGTTTAAGATATGGAGGGTTTTGAAGAAAACTTTCAGGTTTTGGAATCACAACAACTTGGCAGGTGAGTGTGGAAGCTAGAAATACTAGAAGTTCTAGTCCGGTATATAGATTTTATTTCTCGAAAATCTATTATTGACCTAACCCGGTTGACTTTGCTCCTTCCCTTCCGCAGGTTTGTGGTGGCGAAGCGCGACCTGGCTCGAGGTGAGCAAATCCTACTGGAGGAACCATATGTGACCGGTCCGTACTGGGATGCCGACGTTAGTTGCTTGAACTGCTTCAGGGATTCATGCTCCACGTGCCAGTAATCCTGCTCGTGTTTTTGGTTGAGCCTGTAAGGTTTCATTTACCGAATTTTATTTATAATTTTCAGCAAGTGTGGAGCTGTTCCACTTTGTTACGATTGCGTAGATCATGAGGAGGCGGAGTGCCATTTCTATCGGACGTCCCAGTTGGATAGGCATTTCATTTACAACCACTTCAACGTGATTATGCCGGTGCGCTGTTTGTTGCTGTACAGAAGCAATCGGGAACGGTACGACGAGGTGATGGCCATGGAAGCTCGCCTGGAGGAGCGCAGGGGAACGGAGATCTGGGACATTCACGAGAAGTATGTCGTGAAACCATTGCTGGAGAGTGGAATTTTCGGGCAGTTCGAAGATTTGGAAGTCACCGGAGAGCTGATTCAGCGGATCTGCGGCCTGTTGGATGCCAATACGTTTGAGATTCGAGGCAATGTGGACAGCCGTGGGGTGCAGATGAGTAACTTGGCTCGAGGTCTCTATCCAAAGACGGCTTTGATGACGCATAATTGTATGCCGAACACGCTGCTGTCGGTCGATGGGTACTCCAATGTGCGGGTATTTACGACGGTTCCGGTGAAGATGGGCGAAATATTGCACATCAGCTACACGAGAAGTTTGTTTGTAAGTTTTTTTTTTTGGGTTTTGGAAAATTGAGGGGTGTATAATAACTGCCTCGCTTCAGGGTACTTATGATCGTCAAACGCATCTTCGAAAAGGCAAATTTTTCATTTGCACCTGCAAACGTTGCAAGGATCCAACGGAGCTGGGAACTCATCTGAGTTCGATCAGGTGTACGGAATGTGATGAGGGACTTTGCTCGTTCTATGCAAGCGAGTGAGTGATTGTTGTAAGGCTTTCGTTTGGAGTGGAATGTTTTAGGAGAATTTGTTTTCATTTCAGTCCAAAATGGGAGTGCAACAAGTGTCACAAACTTCTGAAGCGAGAGTACGTCAACGAAGTGATGTGTACTGCCCGGGAAGAGATTATGGCTTGTCGTAAGTATCATATAAGGTGTATTAGGGAATTCCTGAATTCTTGGCTGCTGGTTCATTGGACTTATTTGACTGAGTGTGTACACGGAAAGGAATGCTGCAGTAGAAACTAAAATATTGGGAGTTTGCACCTACGTTTTTTGGCAGACTACATTGTGCTTTCCCAACGACAATTAGGGTATTCAATAATATTATGCAGTAACAATTCTGTTTGTGTGGTATTTTATCCATGCATGCTCTCATTTTCACAAAGGGTTGTTTTGATTACAAACAGCCTATCAAGCTATCAAAAATGTTTTTCTAACAAGTGCCTAAGACGTAGCAAATCACCATGCGCCTCCATAAATCCGACACCACTGCTAAATCTCTCCTCTAACTCTCGTAGCTCTAGAAGTCCGTGCCCTCGAACGGGTAATCGGCAAGCATTCAAAAGTGCTAAATCCACACCACTCGCTAGTGATGGAAGCCAAACAGACGCTGGTGGGTGAGCTCAGGACAATCTGCCTGTCCACGGAACCGGCCAGCGTACCGAAGCCGGTCCTAAGGCGAAAATTCGAACTTTGCGAGGAAATTCTGTCGGTGCTGCGCATCCTGGAACCGGGCCTATCTCGACTGGTCGGTATCGCCTTGTACGAGTACCATGTTGCACTCGTCGAACTATCCCGGAGGAATTTCGACACGACGGAAATCAGATCCCACGATCTGTTGGTAACATTTGTTGCTGCCCAAGGGGCAAGAATGGAATTTTAACAAAAAGGATTTTTGTTTGTTTATTTTAGGACAACTTGATCAAAGCGGAAGGTGAGCTGAAGCAAGCCATCAGTATGCTACTGTTCGAGCATAGTACCACGCCGGAGGGTCAGCTCGCCAAACGGGCGATGCGAGAGCTGAAGGAGCTGCGTGCGGAAATTGCAGTAGTTCGAGCGATGATTGAAGATGAAAAGCTGGAACCGCAGAGTCGTAACCAGAGGGGCAACAGCAATGCGAACAACAATTATAGGCTTAAGTTTGGCAAGCGTCGATAGAGCGTGGCCACGTTTTGTTGTTGTCGTTGTTAATGTACGGTGTCAATCTTCGTAATTTTCCAGTTAAGTTTTTACAAAGGAAGGTTCTCAATTCTTCTACCAGAACGATCCAACACGTTACGGCTCTTTGTTTTGTGTTTTACCTCTTGATTCTTTTTTATTTGATTTTCATTGAGTTTTGTTTTTCTTTCATTTTTCCATTTGTTGTCTTCATTGATTAATAATATATTCTTACTCTTGTGCAACGAGAAATACAGAAGAAAACTTCTTAAAATATCTATTTTTTGTTTCAATGTAACAGAGACGGGATTAAAATTCATTGTGTTCTTGTTCTTCAATTATGTTTTTCTCTTTTTTTCATTTCTCATTAATTGATTCCATTTGTTTTCACATTGCTACTACATATATAGACACCGTCATGCTTCCAGGGCAGGCCCGACTGACTTCAGCTCAGATTCCAATGACTTTTGCGAAAACTTGTGTCATCCACGGTCACTGCGCTTTTCGCTTTTTCCAGCTGGGGCTGCCCGAAGTAATCCGGCGCTATAAATCACGATAGAGTCAATATATTGTATGTTCGTTAGGTTTTTAGTGTGTGAATATTTGTGCTACTTAAAACAACCGAAAAATTGGAGAAATAGCGGATTTTACTTTTTGCCTTTTTTTTTTTGCTACTGCCCTTCCGTTCGTGTTCGTTAGAAAAGGGGAGCGAACCGCGCCGGGAGGGAACAACGAAATACGAAAACCGACTCTGGGGAGGGGGACAACGATTTAAAACACGCTAACGTCATACAATTTAGCGTTGGTGCAAAATTTGCTTTTCATTTTTGTTTTGTATTGTTTGCTTAGAGTCCTTTATCACATTCTACCTATTTTGCTTTATTCAAAATCATTTCATTATTGATTAATTTGCTTTGCTTTGATGTTTTACTTTTTTTTTAAGGTTTACTGCTTCTGTTGGTTTAAATTTAACCGTTTCAGCGTAAAAACGAGAAAGGGCCTCTACAAACAGTCATGATTTAGAAAAAGGTGTCTGTTAGAATCTAAAATACGGTACCTTTGCGTTGGTGGTTTCGCTATTATGATTTTTCGTTCTATTTGTTTGTTCTAATTTCATTTCTTTTTCCTCTTTCTAGAATTTGCGTTTTTTGATTTCCGCTTCCCTGCACGACGTCAACTGGTTCAAACGATATTCTCTTTTTGCACAAAGTTTTTTTTTTGTTGTTGTTGTAATTCTGTCTCATTGTCGTCCTTTTCTCGTCCAATTAGTTAAAACCAACCTAATATGCCTTAGTTTGTATGTATCATTGTTTTGTTTTTGTTTTTTATTTGTTCCACTTTTTCCTTCATTTTCCAGCGTTCTCTAGTAGAAATTGGAAATTGTTTACGAAAATATCACTACCACAATAAGATGAGAGCTAACGGAGCGCGGTTTGCTCGGGGGAGCAGAAGGGAACAGAGATCGTGGCGACAACCGGTCTCAATCCCCCTCTCCCCCGCGAAACCCCGCATTCCACAGTAAATTGTCTTATAAAACTAGCATCTACTACAAAAATAATAATTAGTTTTTTTGTTTTGTTTGTTTGTTTGTTGTATATATTTTGTATATATAAGAGAAAAAGTCTACTACACTTTACCGTTTATCATTGTATTTCTTTGCTTTCATTTTCATTTCTGTTGAATAATTTTGCAGAGTATTAATACACTGTTGTTTGCAATTAGTAGGATTCTCACAGAGTTTGTCTTCACTTCGTTCGCCTTCGTCCTGATGGGATAGAGAAAATAGTTTGGTTTTTTCGGTTTGTTGGTTGGGTGGAATTTGGAAATTTCCCATTTATGCGTTACATATTGATCCAGTTTTTTTTTTTTAATTTTTGTCTTCCCTACATACCAGTTGATGGTTTATTTACAGCGCTCTCGTGGGATAAGTGCAACGGTTTTCCTAAGTTGGGGCAACACTGGTTGTCGAGGAGTCATTTGGTGTAATAGTTGATTTGGGGAATTCTCTGCAAACCACTCCAGGAATTCTGTTCAGACATTTCTCGGAATTAGCTCAACAATTAAGTTCTTTAAGGGTACCTTCAGTAGTGCATATTGCATGGAACCGAAATCGAAAATTTCATCATGGTTGGTACCAGTGATGGCATAATCATTAGCAAATTGATATTTTTCCGCTCTCAATATCACGCATGATATTGGAGCAAAATATCATGCTTGATATTGATTTTACAAGCTCCTTTGATATTACGAAACTATTCACAACATGTAAAGTCGAAGCTGAGAGTTGAATCGACGCAAAAATGATTCCGTTTCACATCATTTTCTTAGAAAGAGAAAGTATAGTTTGCTATCTCTTTTTGTCTTCACCGATGGCAGACACGAAGCAGCTGCTGCCAGCCGTAATGGAAATTTCGGTTGCGTTCGGATGTAAAGCAAAATCATGACACTCAATCTCACCACATTTTGGTGAGATTTGCATCTGGTGAGTTTTGTTAGCCTGATGTTCCGAGCTGCGATATCACAGTTTTCAATATCAACCGTAGTTGATTGCATGTTGATTTTTGTCTACGAAAATCAATCGTGATCGTGATCTTTGGTGACCACTGGTTGCTAAGTTGTCCGCAGTTAGCGTGTAGTAGAGATGTGCGATCCGCTCCCAAAGCTGTTCTATAGACCCGATTCTCTAAAGTAAGCTGATGACCCACGGTTCATTTTTTAGGAACCGCTGTTCATCTGCTCACTGATAGCACAAGTCTAAACCATTCAATCCATCACTCATAGCGGAACTTTTCAAAAAAGTACCGCGTAAACCAAGACGCGCGCGCAATACAACATGTGTCTAGTGATCGACAGCACCAACGGTAAAAGCAAACTTCCAAGCGGCTGTTTGGGAGAGAGAGACATATGTAAAGGGTGATACGGTCAAAATTTGGTCAATATCAACTTGACGTATTTCTTTCAATTTTGCATTTAAAAAACCTGAACACCCCTCATTTTGAAGGTGTGTGTGTGTAGAATGTTGCTCCTATTTTGATTTTGGAATTCACTCTTCAGTTGTCAAAATGCCGTCCAAGCAAGAAGAGCAGCGTATCAAAATTTTGCTCGCGCATCGCGAAAATCCGAGCTACTCGCACGCAAAGTTGGCATAATCGCTAAAAGTTGCCAAATCAACCGTTACAAATGTAATTAAAGTGTTTGGGAAACGTTTTTTCGACAGCCAGGAAGTCTGGATCGGGGGGAAATCGAAAACCGGAAGCCGCTGAGACGACAAAGAGAGTTGCCGGTAGTTTCAAGCGAAACCCTAACCTCTCTCTCCGAGATGCCGCAAATAAGCTGGGTGTATCGTCTACAACCGTGCATCGAGCCAAAAAACGAGCCGGACTATCGACTTACAAGAAGGTAGTGACTCCAAATCGCGATGATAAACAAAATACGACGGCCAAAGCGCGATCCCGGAGGCTGTACACGACGATGCTGACGAAGTTTGACTGCGTGGTAATGGACGACGAAACCTACGTCAAAGCCGACTACAAGCAGCTTCCGGGACAGGAGTTTTATACGGCAAAAGGAAGGGGAAAGGTAGCAGATGTTTTCAAGCACATAAAACTGTCAAAGTTCGCAAAGAAATATCTGGTTTGGCAAGCCATCTGTACCTGTGGCTTGAAAAGCAGCATTTTCATAGCTTCCGGGACTGTCAACCAAGAAATTTACGTGAAAGAGTGTTTGAATAAACGTCTGCTGCCTTTCCTGAAGAAACACGGTTGTTCCGTACTGTTTTGGCCGGATTTGGCATCTTGCCATTACGGTAAAAAGGCCATGGAGTGGTACGCCGCCAACAACGTGCAGGTGGTTCCCAAGGACAAGAACCCTCCCAACACGCCAGAGCTCCGCCCAATTGAGAAATACTGGGCTATTGTCAAGCGGAACCTAAAGAAGACCAAAAAAACTGCTAAGGGCGAGCAGCAGTTCAAGGCAAACTGGCTTTCTGCGGCGAAGAAGGTGGACAAGGTGGCTGTACAAAATCTGATGGCAGGGGTCAAGCGTAAGGCCCGGCAATTCGGATTTGGAAAAGCGGAAGCCTAACTGAATATTTTTCCTGAATTTTATACTAATTGAACTTGAAAAAGAAATTTCATTTGATTTTTTTAAATAAACGATTTCACCGATTTACACGCGTTTTCCCTTGACCAAATTTTGACCGTATCACCCTTTAGGTACATGTGCTACACGATGTTAATTTTCTACTGGTATTATTGATGTACCTTGTTGCCAGCGTAGCCAGGTCATTTTCAGAAAAATCTGGACCAGTTAAAATATAAAATCTGGAAAAATCTGGAATGCTCCAAAAAATTTTGAAATCACAAGATCTTGAAGTGATTCTAAATTCTGGAATTTATATTTTTCTGGATTTACTTGAAACTCTTCACAGGATATCTTCGTCCTTTTTTCAGAGTTCTATTTGAATCATCCTAGAATTCCATCACACTTCTTTTCTTGATTCTCTTAAAATAATCTTGATAATATCCAAACTTTTTTAGTAACATTCTAAGAGTTCTTGCATAAGAAGGTTTGTTTACAAAAAGCATGCCCTTTTCACATGTTGTTCTTGATATGTGCTCTCACCTCTCATCCCATCATTCTCTGGGGGAGTGGCAGATCCGCACAAAAGCAAATAACCGAACATCGAAATGCAGCTCTCCAGCTTATCAGCTCAGCTCCGGATCCGAATCATCGACTCGAATGATTCACTGGGAGCTGTTTAGGATGACAACTCTCGGACCCGTCCAGCTCTTCGGATCTTTTTTTCTTCTCTCGATTCTTCACCATTCAGCTCCGGATCCGGTTCTGAGCTGATGATCTGGAGCTGAAGCCGAGCATAGTGAGAGAAATTCTGCTGGAGAATTAAAATCAGAAATAAAATCTGTATGTATGTTTACGCGATGCTTGATCAGTTGTGGCGTTAGTGGCGTTTTCCATTGAAAAGTAGAGCCATGTACGGTACGAATTTATTGGTTTAGACTACTTTTACGATTTTATGCAGTTTTAAGCACTAAAACCACTAATTAATTTTCCGGTTTTTAATTTGTGTCATAATTTCTATAATTTCAATGTGAGCTGAAGAGCTGTTCAAAATAATCGACTCCCTACACGGATAGAAATCTCCTTATACCTTTTGGAAAATGTCTATTGCTGATTATTCATAAAATGTATAAGTCAACTAATAAGCAGGCGCCTTGCAAAACGTTAATGAAGATCATGTGTCAAATGAAATGTATAAGCGGTCACACATACCTTTTATGCATTCTTTGAAGACCCATGTGGTTTGTCTTATGGAATGTATAAGGCTTATGTTTTGGCAAAAATGTATAAGTGAAACACACGAATAAAATTATTGATTTTCGTTTCGTGTAGTGAGCTGAATAGGTTTGATCCACTCAGCCAGATGACCTGTTTTGCCCACCTCTATCAACAATCAATACGAAACTAACGATTTTAAATTGGCTCACCACTTTAGTAGCCTATTGGTCCCAAGCAAACGATTAACGTACCCTATTCTAGTTGAAATTCTATTACTACACTATGTTTGTTTTGATTCGCTATGAAAGTTTGACAGATAACATCAGGGGTGTGTGGATTCATGCAGAACATGCAGGGGTGAGTGAAATAGCTTGGGACTGCTTGGGACCGTTGTTCTGGTACTGAGTGAGCCAAAAATAATAATGATTTTCTTCGGGACCCAGTGGTCTTAGAGTTACCTCTATGCCTCTATCGTGTAGTGGTAAAATAAGCTACTCGAGTTTAGCGTGTAACAAAGCAAAAACTTAAGGTAAACCTAAAGTCACCGACAAACCGACATGAATGACCATGGCAAAAACAATAAAATTTCTGACCAAAGCACACTGCTGACATCTTGCTCCGTATTCGCGGGAAATATTCAGCTAAGCCATGAATTCGCATGCAAAAGTTATCAAATTATTTTTATCTTGTTTAAAAAATTCAATGGTTTAGACAGTTCGGATCACTGCACATTTGAATCGACCGTTTACTATTTTCGGGTATAAGCCAGAATTAAGTGTCATGTCGGTTTGTCAGTGCTAAAGTTCCAACGTACGGACTTTTCAGTTGGCGACGACGGAAAATCGGTTAAGTGGCAAGTGCTTCAGGGCTATTCTGCGTGGCGTGTGAGGTGAAGTGACAGTGAAGTGACAATTGTCACCTCGGGTGAGGTGACTCTGCATTTGATTTGCACGGAGAGTCACCTCACCCAAGGTGAAAATTATCACTTCACAAGTGAAAGCGTGTCACCTCACCTCACACGCCGCGCAGAATAGGCCTGCTTGAGTAGTGTCAAAGTGAAGGTGGAGGATATTTTTCGAAGTGCGACGAAACGGTTTCCCCATCTCCTACAAAACTAGAAAGACGAACGCCATCGTGCTGATTCAGCAGGACTAGTTCGCAGATTTCTTGCGAGTAATCTGACGGCTGCCGGTAGTGGGTTCTATAGAATCATCTGACGAAAGTAGTGCACTTCGATCCGGAGTGGTAAGTCTTTTCGTCGGGGCATTTTGAAAACCATTTTCGGTGTGTTTGGCGTTTACGGATCGCAGGGGTGTAATTTCGGCTCCAATTTGGTCCGGCAATCGAAAAGCGCTTTGTATAGACCTTCATTTCATTTTCAAAGCGCAAATAGTAAATTGAGGAATAGAAAAGGAATTGTTCGCAGTGTAATAAGCCTTTTGTTTTCTTTTATTTTCTAGATAGTGATAGTCGGCGGGATTCACCATCGCTGTATGTTGATTCAGTGGTGCTTCTGGTGATTTTCACGGTGCATCAACAGCTTCCGATTCGGATTGATTGCTCGCATTTCCTCTCGTCGGTCCTCCTTGGTCAGTTCCGGTCCAGGTAGTACCCAAATCTCGACGTCAACTGATGGCTTGCGTGGTTGTCAAAGGGCGAAGACCGCGAGTAGCGAAACATTATTATTATCCCCGGTCGGCAAAGGCTGAAGAACATTTTGGTGAGTGATTTTTGTTTTTTAAACTTGGGGCGGCCAGTTAGTGCATCCATTTGTAAGAAGACATTGTTTTTTTTTTTTTGTAAAGGTGATTCCGCAATACATTAGTGAAACCCTTTTTTTGACGTAGGACTACGTCTTTGTTTTCTATATGGAGGTACACTTTGCGAGTACGAAAAATGAGCATGTAACGAAAAGGGTCAGGTTTTGAACGCATATATCTCCAAAGCATTAGTGTGAAATATGTCATGCAATATGCCATTCGACCTTGGCTTACTCCATCAATTTTGCGGCATATAGTACAAATATATTTGCTCTATTAAACAACTAAGAAATTTACTTAAAATTTGCAGCATCGAAATTTCCCATACATTTGCTTACACCATAAGGTGTATTTCCTAACAAAGACATCACATAGTTTGTCCCAAACGAATCAAGCCGTTGCCGCATTTCCTTTCGAACTTCAGACGTGTTCGAAAGGCTCCACAAGCAGCATGCTGCCAAGGCTGCCTGCAAGAGCGCTCTAGACAGAGTAGCAGTGATGAAGCCACACTGTCACTGTTTGGGTACAGTTGCTCATCGTGAGAAAGCATTGTGGGCCACCGTCATCAAGCACGTTATCGTCATGTCGAAGCTCACCCAAGCTCAAACTAGCTCACCGTATCCGTGGAAGTCTCAGAATTTTATTACTTAGTATCAATGGAACAGCGCCATCTATGTAAAAAATAGCCTTGACTCAATGGTTCATTTTGTCAACATCCTAGCGAAGCCTGATTGGATAATGCAACTAACCTATCACGTGTCAGCATCCACTATATAAAATTGGCGTCGTCGAGCCGATCCTCATTCTTGTGCTTTTGTGATTACATAAGCGTTGGATAGTCCTTACTTCTTTTGAGGGCCATGCAACATCAAAACGGCTCTTTTAAGAGCCACAAACCATCAAAACGGCCCTTTTCAGGGCCACCACAATTTTCAAAGAAAGAGTTAGTTTGGAATATTTTCTAACACAATCTTATTAGTATTAAACGGAAAATGGACACTGACCAATTATTACGCTTCGGAAGAAATGCACGGATGTCATAATAATGTCAGGAATTTTAAATAACGTACGATCAAAATAGTTAACATATGTAAGCGTAGTCCTACGTCAACTGTTCGTACAACTCCATTGGGCTGTCCCTTGTAGTTTTTCACATTTAACATGGCTCAATCCGCTTTTAGCACTACATTTGAACCTTTTCGCAAAGGTAAACAGTTGTGCAGATTGGGTTGTGCGTTTGGGTTTCTTTTTTAACATGAATAAAGTACCCGATGAAGAAAAGAGAGATCATTTTATTACGTTACGCCCTGTGATTTTCAGGGAACTAAAATTGTTGTACCCCAATGGTAATCTAGCCCCAATTATTCAGAAATGGTTGCCAAGTTGAAGGCAAGACTCTTTAACGTTTAACGTAAGGGTGCAGCAACCGGATGAATCGTTAGAGAATTTTGTGTTGTCTGTGAAACTTCAAGCAGAATTCTGCAATTTTGAAAACTTTAAACAATTGGCTATTCGTGATCGCATTTTTGCTGGTATCCGGGACAAATCTCTTCAACAAAGATTGCTCAATGAAGAGAAGCTAACGCTAGAGACTGCGGAAATCGCCAGAAATAACGCAAGAAACATGGATCATAGCAACAGTACGGACTTAATAAGGCTTCAACTTCTGGTTTTCCTGGGGCCAGGATAAACACCTTGGCTGCCACAATGGAGTTAGCGAGGGCAAATGCCAATAAAGAGGTTCTGTCAAAGCTAGATTAGGTTATTCCCCTTATCACAAAGATCAATGGAAACATAGGCAAGGACCGAATAGGCAATGGCGGAACCGAGGTCAAGACAAAGAGGAAAGAAATCGTCTATTGAATCGCCCTAACTAACTATTCGCAAATGTTGTGCGATTTTGGTGGTGTCAAGGGACACATTAAACGAAAGTGTTTTAAATTCAAAAATATGCATAGGGATGCTGTGAACATGATCAATCCGAATACTTTTGGATCCAACCCGGACGAGTTTTTGAGCGACATGGTCAACCGAATGCGAACGGACTCAGACAGCGAGAATGAGATGCAGATGATTATCATTGGAAACGTGCCAACCATGGCACACAGGGGCCAGCTTCGCGTATGTAAGGGTGGTGATTCCCACAAGAAAACAAATATCCGTTTGGTCCGACAACAGCTAAGGTTAGACACTGACCAGGAGGAGTTTTACGGGTTTCCGGAGGAAGAGATGAGACGTGGTCGGAAGAGGAAAATCGTGGTAGATGGCTCTAACCATGATATCGAAAAATCGCCGGAATTATTCCCAAGGCGATCGAAAAGAAGAGCCAAAAATGATAATGATTTTGTGTATTTGAAATAGTTTAGTGTGTGAATCACAGTTCTGATACTTTCTTTTTGAACTTTGTAACTGAAATTGTAATTCTATATTTGAATGATCTGAAACATGAATTGATAAACTGAAAATTGTTCATATGTTAAGTTTCCCAATGGGGGAAGGGCTGAGGTGTCCGCAGTTAGCGTGTAGTGGTATAATAAGCTACTCGAGTTTAGCGTACACTAGAATAGGGTGTACAGTTAGCGTGTTCCGTTTAATAGAAACACACACGTGTAAAAATGTGTATTCGATTCCGCAGACGAAGGTCTGATCGAAGAGCAAAATAAACTGTCAAGTAACAGGTTGACTTTTATTGGCTCCTAAAATCACGGTCTCACTTTCGGTGTTTCGGTCTGTAACTCGGTGAACAAAGTAAAAACTTAAGCTAAACCTAAAGTTCCAACGTACGGACTTTTCAGTTGGTACACTGGAACTATTTTAAAGAAATGCGATTACATTAGCAAAAATCAGTGTTAAAGAGTGAAGTTATTATTTTGCATTAAATTTTGTTTCAAAAATCGAGATGAAAGGCCATGGGTTTGAAAAACAATATCGTTGTGCTCAGAAAACGAAGCGATATTTTTTTCAAAATTACTGAATTAGTCAAATGAAATGGTAATAATTTTCACAACAAATACTTCTTATGAAATCTGAATTATTTTATAGATCTCCAATATTTTAATAGTATAGGATCTTGAATATTTGCCCAAATCTGAGATACCCAAAATCTCTCCAAGTCCTTCAAACCTGAGTAACGAGTTTGGTTTTATCTTTGTTTTGTAGACCATGACTGGACTTTTAAGAACTCTTTCCCGCCCAGAGTGTTTTTGGTATAATACATTTTAAAAACCAATATCTCGATAATAGAAGACCAGTATAGACTATGTTGCAATATTTTTACAAAAATAGGTTGAAATTTTTTAAAAGTTATAACATGCAAAGTCAAAAAAGGCATGGTGCTCCAGGGGCGGGAAAGGTTTAAGATCGATAGCTCGATACAATTTGAAATGTTGCTTGAGAATCCACCTCCTCCTCCTCTAAAGATCCTGATAAAACTTCCAAGCATGGGATTCCATAATTGTTTACAGATCTAAATGAAATTGAAAATTATCTTAGATTCTAGAAACGTTTACAAATCCAAAGTTTTGAATTGTTTTCACGAATACAGGATCTTACAGTTTTTTTTTAAATGCAAAATAAAAAACCGCTTCAGCAGGCAAGTACAAGCAAACCAAGAATTTATTACAATGAATGTTAGTTCCATTTCCTATCATCCTCTGTTCATGAACATCGCAGCGAATGCTTGAAGTTGACCTTACAGATGATGCAATGATTTTTAATCTTTTCTTATACCGTGTTCTGCATAAGTTTTCACCTATACAAGCAAGCATTTCCCTTGATTTGTATGTAACATCGTAGAACGACTCACACACTTGCCCCAATTCTCTCCAGCAGAAAAAGCAAACGAAGTCGCGTATGCGAGGAAATGAGCGCATGTTGTTTGCTTTTAGCTTATACGTATACCGAAGCAAGGAAAGAGCAGTGAAGAAAGCACAGATCTGATAATCGCAACGTTCGTGGTTCGAGTGCCCAGTTGGCAACCTTTTTTTTCGACATGATAAATTCTCTCACTAGGATACACTCCACATTTTACTTTCTTAATTTTCTTGCATTGGACCGCAGCTCAGTATATCGCATCCTCGGTTCATGTGGTTTTCACTAACGTCCTCCGATGATGAATCCCACATAATTGTAAGTAAATCATACATCCCCCGGTTGTAAATGTAGAATTGCCTTGAATTCCAACAGTATCGTATGCAGCTCCTACACATTTCACAACGACTCCATCGTCCAGCTGTGGTAGTAGCTCATCTCTCTACTATCAGAATGTGCGACGACTACGGACCAGGGTGGATTCATTATTTCTGGCCGCCAGTGAGTGTGATTGTTGATGTTATTGCTCTTCCAGAAAGTTATTTGTATTTTACGGAATAAGATTCCAAGAAGAAGAAGAAGAACAGCAAGGCAGATAATTTTCATACTGGCAGCAGATCTTTGACAGCTGCAATAGAACTCTCTGGTAGTCGCCAGACGGAAATTTTTAGTAAGATCCACAATATTCCCCCGTATTCTGCAAGTCACGTGACTCTCTGTCATAGGTGAGATGACAATTGTGAGGTGACTATCCGTGCAAATCAAATGGAGAGTCACGTGACTCGCAGAATCCCCCTGATTGAGTTATCTGAGACATGGCGCGGTGACTGTTTTGAAATGCCTTTGCTGTAACTGTACTGACCGCAATGCCTCGAATAGTGTAAAACACGTGGTGGCGGTGTCTTGATCTGATTGCTGCTCCAACTCGATTCGTCTTCCATTTCAGATGCTCTGGAACAGCTTTGGTTTGGAAGCACTACCGTAGTGCGTAGCGCCAAGTCGAGTTGTTAGCGTCAGTGTGATCCGCACATCCACAGAAATTTTCGTCGAAAAGATCGTCGGAACGATATCAATAGTATTCAGGACCATGCGAACTCTATCGGTGCTATTGTTTCCAATTTGGTATTAAATGACTATGCTCTGTAGTTTGGAGATTATAACCAGCCTGTGCCTATGGTCCGGTGGAGTAAGTCGGACGATGGGTCTTTTCAGGTTGTGTTTCAAATGGTTTTAACTGCTAGTTCAACGCTTATCGATGATTTCGCTATACATGGCCTCACGTAGATCAACGTTGTATCGAAACGAAGCGCTCGCTTTCTAGACCTTGTTCTAGCTAACGAAACAGCATGCACCGTTTCGGAAGTCATAGAACCTTTGAACTTTTTTGACACAGACCACCCTGCTTTGGACGTCATGATGAATCTCCCAGCGCCGATCGTTCCGAAAATAATCGTACACTGGAATTCCGACAAGTTGACTATGCTGAGATTAGTGCTGCTATGTTTTGTACTGACTGGCGGCCATTAGAATCAGCTGGTTGTGTTGATGATGCCGTTGAATATTTCAACCAAATGATTTGGGACATGATGGTTGATTTTATAACTACTGCCCACGCCACACCAAAGGCACTGAGGTCCAATGATCTGAAACGGTACAGGGCCAAAGCGCTACGAAACATCCCAAGTAACAATTTTGGTTTTATGAGTATTCTGTAGACCATGATTTAGACTTGCAGAATGCTTTAAACTTTCGATAAAACTTGCAATGGTTCTTGTGGAGGAGGTCAAACGCACAATGACTATAGGAAATACAACAGATTCCTGTGTCGACGATATGTATTCCGTAAGCAGAAATCTGAAGCGTTTCTGGTCATTTGTAAACTCAAAGAGAAACGAAGCCGGTTTGTCATTGTCAGTTCATCTCGGTGAATACACTCTCGTTTGCTGCCAAACCCGGATGGCATTCCTCCGTGCGTCCTGAAGTTGTGTTAGGAAACGTAGCCCACTCCCTTGGCGAAATTATTCAATCTGGCATTGCAGGAGAGCAAATTTCCTGAGGCGTGGACATTTTCGTAGTTCACAAGAAAAACAACAAACGGAAAGCCCAGAATTACATCGGTATCTCATCAATATGATGGTGCTCCAAAGTATTCGAGTTCATCATCGGCTCAGCATGAATTCTACCCGAAACGGTCAGTTACGACAAATTTGACCGAATTCGTGTCGCTCTGCGTTCGAACCATGTGTGCATTCTTTTGAGCAAGGTTGAAAAACTTAGACTCTCCGGATCCTTGATTTCTTGCTTCAAATTTTACCTTAGGGACGGTCGTTTTGCATTTTAAGACGGAAGCTTTTCGTTATGACGTATTCACGAACATTTCCATCGCTCTCCTTGGGAGTAATAAGGGACCTATTCTGTTTTCGCTCTTCATCAATGAGCTCTCTTGTCTTCTGCCACACGGATGCCGGCTTCTAGGCTGATGACGTTAGAATGTATCTTCTTTTTTTTCCTTTGGTTTGTTTTTTCCGTCGATCTTGTTTTCCGTGCTGAGCACCAATGCTACCGACGTGCCAGGAAGGCAGCTCCCACACCTGGACCCTACCTATCGACCCATCAACTCATGAACCGGGGACCAACGGCTTTACTTCCCATCCGAAGGAAGGCGTGATCAGAGATGTTATGCCTCAGAACATCCCGGCGGCGCCGACTGGGATTGAACCCAGGCCTGCTGGGGTGAGAGGTATTAGAATGTATCTGATCATCAATTGCATCGCTGATTGCGATGAGTTGCAGCTGCTGGTGGATCGTAACGATTATGGGCAGTTGGCTTTATATTCAAAATCTCTGAAGACTTTCGCGATCCACTATGCTTGCGGGCGCTGTAAAATTCGTTCGTTCGTTCAATTTCGAAGTTAAGTGCTAGCCTCTGGTTCCCATACCAAGCTTGCTTGATTGCTAGACTCGAGAGTGTACAGAGGAAGTTTGTTCGCAACGCGCTCCGTCATCTGCCCTAGCGTGGATCATTATCACTTTCTTGGATGGTGTCAAATGGGACGAAGAAATCGCAACGCGCAAGTGTAGTTTGCTGCAAGGATCATTACCAGTGAAATTGATTCCCCTAAATGACTTCGGTAGCTCTTCTTTTAAACACCCATGAGAGTGATAAGACAACGAAATTTTGTACAGAACTCGTTCCAACGTTGCTGAGAAAAGCGTCGCTTTGAAAAATTCAAATTGTATTCGTAGATTGTTCTGAAGCTTCCTGGACTGGAATCGGAGGCTACCGTGGAAAACTATGCCACTAAAGAAACCCACATCAGGAGTTAATAACATGTCTTCGATTGTTTTTTCAACTGTCTGGAATAGTCCTAGATTTTCATCGCCCATTACACCAAAAACACCTCAACTACAAACCGTCAAAACCCGCTTGTTGTTTTGTTTATTGAAAGTAATTTCCAAAAAATAAGTGTTCCATACTATTCTACCAACGAAACAGTTCCAACTAAAATTCCTTACAACACAAATCTATCCTGCTAAAATCGCACTTTCGAAACCTCGCTCTGTGTTTGTTCTTGGCCAAAACGGAATTCCTGGGTGGGGGGAATAAACGTGTGTTGAAATGGTATCAAGTATAGCCTAAATTATCACTCAGGAGAAATCGACTACCTGTCTGTAATTGTAATTGTTTAGTGAGTTTAGTGAGTGAAACGTAACATGCTAAACGAATATGCGCCGACATCATCCAACACCCATTGCTGATATAATGTTGTACCTCTTCTACTCTGTTGTCGGTTTGCTTGTTGTTGTATGTATGTGTTTTTATTTTCGTGAGTGTGTGAGCGTGTAAATTACAGGTGTGAGTTTTACTTGGTGGCTGTTTCCATTACTCTACTATTGTTACAGGGCTATTGTTTTGTTTTATTGTTGTTGCTGTTAAACGGTGAATTTGTCTTCTGTTTTGATTATTCTATATTGCGACACAAATATGCTGCGGCTGGTAGTTCGGTATTACTGTATAAAGCAAAAGTTATATTATTTTCTGTGTTATTGTTTCCATTATACCATTTATAGGTTCTTCTCTTGTAATTGTTTTTGGTGTGGGTGACATCTTGAGAGATAGTGCAAAGTGGTTTTTATGCTTTTTTGTTTGTTTTGCTTCTATTGATATTGGTTTTGTTTGGTTGTAAATTAAACTATTGTTACACATTGAGACAGCGTTTTGTGCTGCTTTCCGGATATCTATCTTGGTTAGACAAAGAATAACATATGGTAAATAGTGTTTCTGTATGTGGCTGTGTGTGTTTATGTGTGTGTGTGTGTGTAGAATTTGGTAGGGTAGTTGACAATGTTTAGTTTTCTCTCTCTAGAACAGCGTTTTTAATCAAATGCCAAAAGCTGTGAAAGGAAATTGGTTGTTTAGTACGTAAGAAAAGTTTGAAAAAAACCGAAAGGTTATGGAAAGACGGTACAGATTAACTTGAAATATAGACGCGAATGAAACTAATTATATAAAATTAACTAAAAATTGTCATTCGAATTTTTGTTTATCCCATGAAAAAGGGAAGGGAATTTGTTTGTTTTGCTATATATGTTTATGTACCTATAGTCTGCTAGTTCAAATCAACTCTACTACGGTTGAGAAATTGTTCAGATCAATCGCAAATGGATTTATTTCTCCGACTGCTTACTTCTAGTTGCTTTTGTGTTTGTGTTAGCCACATTAGCGCTATTATTGTGGTTAGTGTGTGATCTAGCTTTATTTTGTACTCTTCGAAGTTTCTTATGATTAACACTATCACTACTGCTACCGCTACAGCCAACAGTGGCATTCAGATTAGAGGAAACGTTTGATGATGACGCCACTGTGGACGATGCAGTAGCCAAGGAGGGGGAAAGCAGGTTTGCCTGGGAAAAGTGCGGAGGAGAGGAGCAGGTTGGGGGTATTAGCAAAGGCAACACAGCCGAAGATGACGACGCCGTCGAGGGGTATGAAGGGTGGTGGTGTGGGGACATTGATGACGGTCCAGCCGCCGATGACGATGACGACGAGTACGATGCCACAATAGAGGCCAACGGAGCCGAAGCGAATGGTGGGTTCAGGGGTGATGATGACCCGGAAGCTAGTTCGCTTCCACTGGGGGAAGACGAACCAGCCGAAGCGACATCATCGCTGGCACTTTCGATGCATTCAAACTTCCGTTTTTGGCTCTTGGGCGAACCAATGACGGCTACCACCGAAGGGGGCAGCGGAGACATGGGCTGGGCGTCCAGGTCCAGCAGGACATTCTCGATGTCCTCTCGCAGGTCGGCGGGTTCTTCGGCGATGGCTGGCAGACCAACTTCCTCCGGCCGGACGCCCTGGTTGACCAGTGCCTGAAGGTCTTCCGGGGGCATGGCAACGATGGCTTGACCACAGGCATTGCAGTTTGGCGTGGCCGGACTCTTGGATCGCCAGTACTGCAGTTCGGTTTTGCACTTGTTCAGTTCCTAGAAAAAAAAATAGATGAATTATAGTTTTGGTCTGACCGGTTCGGATCTGAACTTTTCGGCGGTGTTCAATATTATGTATATTCGAACGATAACGGTACAAATCATGAATTGAGAGCGAATTTCAAGTTGTTAAAAATACACCAAAAAGATTGTAAGACTAACGATCCCAAGAAAAAAATCCACGGATGTACCGTTTCCCCGAAAAATTTAGCACCCTTCTTTTTATTCTTCTTCTTCTAGTCTTTGTACGCTTCTGTGTTTTATCGGATCTAAGCTTAGTGATCTAGATCAGAGGTGGCAACAGTACATTTTTTACAAAACCATCGTCCAGAGCAACACAAAACAGCCAGCACACGGGCGGCCGTGTATTTCTACATTAGGGGCTGTTCATAAACTACGTAGACAGTTTAAGGAGGGGGCAATTATCCACGACCCATACAAATTTTAAAATTTTTGTATGGACAATTGTCTACGCATGGGGGGGGGGGTGAAGAAGCACAAAAAAAAAGTCTACGTAGTTAATGAACAGCCCCTTACAAGCAAACGGCGGAGAAAGAGAATAGGAAAAATTTCGTAGCCCATTATTTTTCAAACAGTTTATTGAAATTACATTTTAGCTGCAAGCTTGCGTGTGACAGTAAATTATTATCCCAAGTAACATTGCAAGTTTTATAGTGGTTTTAAAGCATGCTACAAGTCCAAATCTACAGAACCCTCATAAAACCAAAATTGTTACTACTCCCTTATTTACCCATAATTTTAACATCTATCCTTATGAGTGGTTAGTATTCGGTCTTATCTTATAATTCCATGCAATAAACATCAAATAAATGCTATAATTGACCAGAAATCTGCAAAATTCTAGATGACATAACTGCTTCATTGTGCGAAAATGTTCTGTCGCCTGCAGAAACCAGTTTTGAAATGTCATGACATTTTTCCGTTGCCAGTTTGTGTTTGTGTGTCTTCTCTATGATCATTGAGTATCAAATGTTACGAAAAATCTTTGGACTCCAGTACTCGTGCCACCACTGATCTAGATTTACTTCTACAGTTATTAATTGCGAGCTGTCAATGCCAATCAATTTATGATTTCGTATATTGTGTGGCAAGCACAATAATAGGTAATGCCCAAGAAATTCTAACCGCCTTGGATGCTTGGTTATGAATTTTCAAAGTACGTGATGTCCGGGAAAATCCAAAAACTAATTTTTTTCGGAAAAATTAACCCTCCCGAATTTTTTTTATTTATTTTTCGATCACATCCCAAGTAACATTGCATGTTTTATAGAGGTTTTAAAGCTTTCTTCAAGTCTAAATCATGGTCTACAGAACCCTTATAAAACCAAAATTGTTACTTGGGATAAACTTTACTTGTGGTTAAAATTTCATAAACTTGAGACCCTTCGGCTTAAACCTGTACGATACTTCAAAAAATCCCCTATGGTCAGTTGTTTTTCTTATTGGAACAGTTATCACACAGGCTAAAAGCGAAGACAACACATCAAGAAGAGTGGCCACTTCTTCATTTTCTGGTACAACCGTTCTGAGACAGGCACAATCGCGTCATCTGTCGCTCAAAGGTAAATGTTTCCCGTAATGACACGATGCCAGATCCGGCCAAAACAGAGTGTCACCTTCGTAGGACCGGAGGAAGGACGACAGGAAGCGCTTCTGGAGGCATTCTTCTTTATATATTTGGCAGTTCATTCATTCCTTTATTTAACGTCGGTCTCTGTTCCGCAATCTAGTGCCAATCACCGACGGACATCGATTGCCATCCATTGACGGCAATCGAATGTGCAGGAAGGCAGCTTCCACACCTGCGTAGGATATCGCACCCATTCAACACACATGGGCCGGGACCAACGGCTTTACTTCCCTTCCGAAGGAAGACGTGACCAGAGATTTTTATGCCTCAGAAAAATCCCACCGACCTCGGCTTATCGGTTCGGTTAGGCGCCTTCCTTACCATGAAGACACGAAGTCCGGCCCGCTTCATTGTCTGCTGGACGAACCAGATGGAAGAATTTACCTTCAGGGTCCACAATCGAAAGGTTCGGATTGCGCTTGAAGTAATCCCTCACCTTCCTTGCGTTCACGGGGTCGGTCGTCTTCGTTTTTTTTCCGCTGTCATTAAATAGGTTCAGTTTTCTTGGACATTAAGGGGGCTTTTGATTCTGTTTGTATCGATGTCCTTTCGGATAAACTCCACGATAGTGGGCTTTCACCAATTATGAACAACTATTTGAGCAACTTGTTGTCTGAGAAATATATGAGCTTTTCTCATGGAAACTCGACAACTTCACGAATTAGTTACATGGGTCTCCCCCAGGGCTCATGTTTAAGCCCCCTTCTTTATAATTTTTATGTCTTGATGAAAATTGCTCGCTAAAGCAGCTTGCAGATGACGGCGTTGTGTCCGTTATAGGGCCAAGTGCACCGGACCTGCAAGGACCATTGCAAGATACCTTAGACAATTTGTCTACTAGGGCTATGAAGCTGGGTATCGAATTCTCTCCGGAGAAAACTGAGTGGGTTGTTTTTCTAGGAAGCATCATCCTGCACAGTTACAGCTTCAGCTAATGGGTAAAACAATCACTCAAAGTATTTCTTTCAAGTATTTAGGTGTCTGGTTCGATTCCAAATGCACATGGGAAAAACATATTGCGTATCTGAAACAAAAATGCCAGCAAAGAATTAATTTTCTTCGTACAATTACTGGAACTTGGTGGGGAGCATACCCAGAAGATCTGATCAGGTTGTATCGAACAACCATCTTGTCGGTTCTAGAGTACGGTAGCTTCTGCTTTCAATCCGCGGCAAAAACACACATCCTGAAGCTACAACGGGTTCAATACCGTTGCCTCCCAATCGCGCTTGGCTGTATTCACTAGACGCATACGATGAGCCTCGAAGTACTCGCGGGTGTTCTCCCACTGACAGATCGTTTCGCGGTACTGTCCTTCCGGTTTCTTATGCGTTGTGAAGTAATGAACCCATTGGTAATAGAAAACTTTGAGAAGCTACTCGACAGAAATCCTCAAACAAGATTCATGAGTCTCTATTACGAGTACATGACGCTGGAGGTTGGTCCTTCTTCTTTAATCTCCAATCTTGATTGCTTTCAAGCCTTCTATAGTTCCTCTGTAAATTTTGATCTGACCATGATGCAAAAAATCCATGGAATACCAGATCACCATCGGTCGATGGTTGTTCCCTCAATTTTTGCAATCAAGTACCACCATTTAAGTAACGATAGCGCCTCCTATAAACTGCAAAAACCATGCTCCGTATACGTTGCGGAACTCGCAGCTAAATTTTACGTAGTAGAGCGAGTTGCCTCACTACCTTCTGACCATTATTTCATTTTTACGGATAGCCTTAGCTCATTGGAGGCTATTCGTTCAATGAGGCCGATGAAGCACTCCTCGTATTTCCTGCCTGAAATACGATCTAAACTGAGTGCTTTATCCAACTGCTCCTATACTACCACTTTGGCTTGGGTCCCATCTCGTTGCTCAATTCCGGGTAATGACAAAGTGGACTCGTTGGCTAAGGTGGGCGCTATGGAAGGCGATATTTTTGAGCGACAAATCGCCTTCAACGAATTTGTCTCCATTGCTCGTCAGCAAGTCCTCATCAGTTGGCAACAAAAATGGAATGATGGTGAATTGGGAAGATGGTTACATTCTATTCTCTCACAGGTGTCGAACAAACCATGGTTCAAAGGGTTGGACCTTAATGGCTTATGTCCAATCACTGTTCGTTAGACTCACACTTCTATTGAATTGGGCTATCAGGTAGCAATTTATGTGCGAGTGGCAGTGGTTATCATGATATCGAGCATGTTGTTTGGTCATGTATCTTACACCGTGTTGTCAGATCTGAGTTATCCACATCTCTCAAGGCCCGAGGAAAACAACCCGCGATACCCGTTAGAGATGTCTTGGCGAGCCGAGATCTCGACTATTTGAATTTAATTTATGTGTTTTCAAAACGGATAGATCTGAGGATTTAGTAGTTAGTGTCATCTTGTGTTCCCCCAAGTTGTTAGCTGCCCATAGCCCCCATGTTCGTCTTTTTCATCAGAGTGTCGCTTATTTCGAGATCAAGGGCACATTGCTCTCCAAACCTTGTGTTCTCAATCCCTACCCTGCCATCCATTTGTTACAATTTGTTACCCCTAAACCTCGAGATAGCCGCGAGTAATCGGCCCTCACTTTACTAACGTTAGTTTTAAGTAATTTTGTAATTTTGTAATCTAAACAATGAATATCGGTTCCGCAAAGCTACAGCAAATGAACCTAGAAAAATAAACGAATTATAAAAAAAGAAAAGAAAGTTTGCTGAAGACACTGACTTCCTATCTACTTTTTTAGAGTAATGTACGCGATGAACGCTTCCAATAGGAAAACGAACGACGTCATCGAATGGCGCATCCTGATTGGCTGACGCAGCCGATGAAAGAGTATAAAAGTAAACAACATTGTATTTCATGTTTCATCATTCGCTGCCAGACTGTTGAGCAGTTCAGTCGATTTGAATTCTCTCTAGTTTCGTTCGTTCGTTCGCAAGTCGAATTAGCTCCGCGTTGTATAGTGACGCTCTCGCTGACCCAACCATGGGTAAGAAATCGCGCGGTAACGCGAGTGCCGGATTACCGGGAAAACAGACTCTCCCAGGAGACGGCGCGACCACCGAGCCAGCTCAGAAGAAGCAGAAGAAAACCCCATTGCCCGTCCCGACAGGCGTTGCGGACCCGCAGCCGGGGCCTCCCGGAACTAAACGACCCAGACCTGAAGACATCAGCGCCACCGCATCGGCAGCAAAAAAGCTGCTGAGCAACAATCCGTTCTCCGCCCTGCAGAACGGAGCCCAGCCGCAGTCGGACCCTGAGACGGTGCCTAAAAAAGTTAAGTTGCCACCCTTCTATGTGAAGGGCTTCCCTCCCGGGCTATGGGAGCAGCTGGATTTCTACATTAAGCAGGGCCTTC